ATATTTACAAAAGTAATTAATTGTAATTAATTGTAAATGTTTTGGACATTAGTACGAACGCTGAAGGAAAAGTGTCGAGGGACAAAATCAACAACGACGCGAGGTATAGTGTTTGCTGAAGCTTCTTTCATAGAAAAACAAACAATAAAAATCGCTACGAATTAACCAATTATATTTTTATCATATCCAAATACCTCCGGCTCCCTCAACATTAATTGTAAGGCTAACTTTCAATATGTATCTGAATATTCTATGCCGTTAATCGGGAATGGAAACAATACGACAAGAAAAGAAATATCGATGAAAGCGAAACACTTGTATATATTTAGCAATTATTAAAAACAAAGAATACTAGCTATTTTGACTAATTCCAGTAAAAGAAAGAAGGCTAATATATCGCGACCAGCTTGCTGGAGTCAAAACTACTGGGATTTCATTTTGTCAAGTCAGCTGACGTAACCGGCCATTTGCATCAGAAAATATATGGCTTCCAAACTTTGGATCAGATTTTGCAGAGAGGAGGGCAAAATGTTCGAGCTTTCAAGTTTCTCGAGTATACGGCGCACCCAAGGAAACACTTCCGTGGTGAAGAATTTCCAGGCGATCCTCACTATGGTGTCCACGACTGTTCCTATTTCTGTGCTAGTGGTATTTTCTAGCTGGTGTAGTATTTTTCGGACGTCGTTGAGGGGATTTAATAACAGATCCGGCAGAGGTGATGTTACTATCTTTTGGACGTCGTTGAAGGGATTTAGTAATAGATCCGGCAGAGATGGTGTTTCATTTGACGATCTTCGACGTCTCTGATCAGAGCTGGTTCCATTATTTGATATAGTCAGGTTGTCGAGTATTGATTCGATACCATCGAGCAGTGATCGAACCGTCGATTGGACAGTGGTGAGGATCGACTGAATAATGCGCCAGAGCTCTTGTAACACTCTCCCAGGAAGTCGAGCAATGTCCGAAAAGAATTGTTCGAGGATTTTCAGAGGCTGGATCTCCCGTACAATGCGATGCAGCGTTGCAGTGTCAGCTAGGTGGTTCGACACTGGTTCCGACGCTGTAACACGGTCTGATAGTGATATTCTGCTGACGAAATTAAATGTGTAATTCCGGACGTCTGTCCCTCGCACGCAATTGAAAATAAATAACTTTTAGAAGTCTCTAGCTGTAAGTTAGACTTGACTCTTAGCTTTAAAAGCCGCGCATTACAAGCCTGTCATTTAAATTGTAGAAGATAATAGCAGAGAATCTAAAATCATCGTTTAGATGTGAAAATAGACGTGAATATATCAAGGTAAAATAAACGGAGTCTATTAAGTCCAATATGATCGTTAATGACTTTAAATTAAAAAAAAAAAA